AAGCACAAAATGCACCCCTCTGATCACTCCTGATAGTAAACTCTACAGAGATGGACTGACCTGACAATAATCAGCCTTCCTTTATATGCACACCACAGTTACCTCCTATCACAACACCTCTCCTCCTCCTCCAAACACGTGATGAATAACAACCTGCTTGCTGCTAATCCAGGGGCACTGTTTCTTACTCCCAAAAGCTCTGTCCTTCAAGCCAACACATCCTTTATTCTCACTCAGGAGAAGCAGGGTGGTTTCCACTAACATTGTCTGTTCTATTGCCAAAATGGAAACCACTTTGTCCTCACACTGAACTATATTAGTATATTTAAGTATCTTCTACCACATAGGAACCTATTCTGAGTTTTACATAGCAGCTTCCAGTCCAATGGCATTCATCTGAAGTTATTTTAAGGGCTCCCCCCCCCCTCAAAAAAAAAAAAAAAAACCACCACAAACTGAGGAAAAATGCTGACATTTCTGCTATATTGAAATACCATCAAGGCAAATACAAATTATTAAAAGGTAAAAATGTCTCTAGAGTAACAGAAGTACAATCAGGTTTGGCACTGCTTTCTTGTCTAAATCTAAGGTTTCTCTTACATTATAAGCATCTTCAGATACTATTTTTAGTGTCTGCTCTGAGCATTAAACAATTCAGTCAGCCACTTAACTCTAAGCATGTGAGTAGTCCCACTGAAATGCAAGCTAATTTCTTTCTGAATGCAAATTACCTGTAGCTCTCAAAAAGCCATTCAAATTGTATTTAAATGTAGAGGACCTTTCTACCTGCAAAAATCTGAATGTAAACAATTTCCTATTGAAGTTTATTGCATGCACTTCAGGTAGGTAATAATGTTGACACTCATTGGCTTTTTTTTTATTTTATGGAGAAAATGTACAGAAAAACTTACTCCATTTAACCAATCCTTTGGGAGATTTTCATTACTGGCCTTACATAACAGCAATTGAAGATAGAAACAAAATATTATTTAACAAGGTTTTATATGACAGCATAAAGAGTGACTGCTAGCTGAGTGTTGATTCAGACATATTTCTGCTAGGGTCACTTCCCTGCCAAAATATACTTCCAATAACCATACATAAATTTTATTTTTAATAAATAACCACTAAATGGTTGTATAAACAGAGTAAACTGTGGGTAACTGTAGTTTAGAATGAATATCTGTTGTAGCAACATTAACAAATACCTCGCACAGACTGATTCCAAGTCAGTGCCACCATCACTAGCTTGTTGGTTGGTGGCAAACCAAATGATGTTGGAACACATCAGTGGTTTCCCCTAGTGAGAAATCTACATCCTCACTACATCAGCTTTCACACTCCTGAAGTATCCCTCGTGTTTCTACTTTTCAGATGTTCAGCTTTGAAAAGCTTAAAATTTATAAAGAAATAGTCACTGACCCAGAAAGTCACTGTGGCAAGACTGTTCCTATACCCTGCCCAAAACATAAACACATAAAACACACTTATATGGAGGCAGTGTGTTCTGAAGTTTGAAATAGGAGTCTGGGATTTAAAAAAATCAGCTACCAACTCCTTGTGTGACCTTGGGCAAGTCTTTCAACACCCTTATCCTTCAGCTCTCGAACTGCGTAGCTAAAAAAAGTGATTGAAGGGGCCTTGTGAAGGTTATTGATTGATTGCTGCTTGCAAAGCATGCTGAGATGCCACTGGGAAAAGAATTAAACCGTATGTGTTTAAAGAATCAATGTATATTATTACATTATTACTGAAATAATGGTAAATATATTGTAAAAAAAAAATGAAGAAAAAAGAAATAGAAAAATAGTTGCAGATCAATTTGCAGAAGGTGAATTAGATGCAGTACAGTATACCTGATCCTGTAGCAGTAAAGTTAAAGAAAGCAGGATGAGACCTTTCTGTAAGAAGGGGTCTGAGGCCCAGGGCAGCGAGCACTACCCAGAATTAAGCACCCTCACTCTTGAAGGGCTTAGTTGGGACCTGCCCATTTAAGTCTTCACAGTGGCAACCATTCATGAAATTTTCTTCAGGTAAATCACCCAATTCCTTCAAAAAGCTACCTTGTAATTTTCTTCTAACAAAAGCAGTTCTATTTTTATGCTTTCATCAACCACATGTACATGTATGTTTAGGTAAATTCTGATTTCCCAACTATGCAAATGTAAGAGGCATTTTACACTTTTCTTAAGTACTGACACATTTACAACTGCAATTTCTTTAAAACGTCATTCAACCAAGATTGATTATTTGCTGCATAGTGAGCAGAGGAAAGAGAAAGAAAGGAGCTGTCAAGCATTCTTGCTTTTCTTTTTAGAAAGGAGGAAAAAAATAGGCTTATCTTTGGAAAGAGACCTTTTAATAAAAGGATGATGCGAGCACTGAGCAAATAGTATCAGCATATCTGGAATTCCTCATAATAATGGAAGAAGTATTTAAGATGGCAGAGAAAACCTTATGGGTTTTCAAAGGCTTCAGATGCATTTGTTTGAGTGGGTCTTCAACTGAAGAGACTCCATTTATTTCCTGCAACTTACAGGTGTATGTGGTCCATTTGCATGATGCATTCAGCCTATTGCCCCTCCAAAAAAAAAAAAACTAATCAGGCCACATTTTTCTTGACTTAATCTATTTCTCAGGCTGCTTGCATCTTAAAATAGTCATTCCTATCTCCTTATGGCCATTGTATTTTTCCATCACACATTACCAATAAATTCTGTCTGCATTTCATGATTGGTGTACTCTATTATTATATAATCAAGATTTGCAATAAGTTACATGGAATGCGAAGGTGCCTTTCCTCAAGTATTTCTCTCTCAAAACCAAGTAACAAAGCCACCTTGATTCCCCATGACCTGAAAACTTGCAGTAACTATTTCTATAGAATAACAGGATTATTTTCACTTTTACTGTTATAATCCTTGTAAAACAATGGCCAAGGAACAGGCTCTAGTACCTTTACTGACAGAAAATAGCAATGAAATTTGAGAGTCATCCAATTGACTTTGACAACTTGCAGAGTAAGACTATTAAATTAACCAAGTCACATCTATGACTCCTAAACAGTGACCCCAACATATGGTTTGACACCTTTCCCACTGCTGCTGGAAAATGTATGTATTTACTTATTAAGCTTAGACAGTTAAATAGATTTATAGACTATTCTAACAATAATAATGAAAAATCGTCTCCAATCAATCAAGAAATGCTATATAGCATGTTTCTACAGACCCAGATATTATCCAGGATATGGGCATTTACAGCATAATTGTCCCACTAAGCCAATAACATCACCTTTAAATGGAGCTGACAGTTCTTCCCATCTGTGGTAAGAACTCAGCCTGCTTTACAGTAAAAGCTGCAGTATGAAGCTCACTCCCTCCACCTGTCTCATGCAGAATCAGCCAAAACATGCTGCAGTTACAGTTTTGTTAAATGAAGTAATGTCCACCGGGAACTGAACAGAAACTATTACACCTCTTTTGCATAGGAGCATATAGTTGATATGTGGCCTAATGTAGAGCTATATAAACAAAAAAGAGCAGCCAACTCTCAATATTTGACCCTGATTTCATATAATGTAACCAAAGATAGATTCACTGAAACTTAACAAGGATTTTGTATTCATTTCACCTTTTTCATGGATTGCTGTAGCAATGCACTCAATGGCTATTATGCTTAGCTAAGTTTAGAATATTACGTCTACTTCTGAAGTACACTGGCTCTTCCAAACTCTAAATAAACCACTGAAAGGCTTTAGGAAACTTTTCAGTATTAGTGCACACACAGCCAACTTGTAGCAACTGGAAAGGGGTTCTGCATTGTATGCTTGATGCAGACTACGGGCTTTGGACAAGGCTAGGATGGCAGCATATTTTTTTTTCTTTTTTTTTTTTTTCCCTTTTGGTGGTGTTTTTAGTTTATTCTTAATAGAAATAATTTTTAAGACTGGGAGATCTTTTCTCTCAAGCAGTATTTGAAAATATCTTTAACAATCACAAGAAAATAACCAGAAAAACAGCAGGGCAGACAGAGGCCAGCGCAATCGCTAAGAACTCTGAGCTGCCCAAGCCAAGGGGCAGCACCCCTCCTGGAGCCACATTGCACTTATTCCCTAGATCCTTACAAAGGAGGAAGTGGGGAAATATAAGTCCTTCAGTGCAAAGATTTATCTCATTTATTGTAACGAGACAGAGGAAATACTACTATCTTGTTACAGCATAGTAAAATTCCTGCACAGTTTTTACCACCTCTCTTCCACAGCAACTTTCATAGGAACACAAACCCCCTCCTTCCACCTCCCCAGGGTGCAGCACACCCACCCATCCCTCACAGGTACTTCTAAACTCCTGATTAAAAGCACAGGTGGACCTCAGTGCACTACAACATGATGAGTTTAAATGTTACAACCTGTGTGGATACAAAACACCATCCCTGGCTCTAAAGAGGATTGTTTAAAGTGGTCATGGCTGGTTAAGGCTCTTTAAGAAATGCAAAAGCACATTTATGTCTTAAAATTCTATTTTTCACTTCTGTATATGCTCAACTAAAACAACAACTTTAAAATCTCAGCATATAATAAACATAATAAAAATAGGAAGTTAAGAGAGAGTGCGGCTCTAACTGCTACAGGTTGATTTCATACCAAAGTCAGACAAAGCCTAGCAATCTTTAATGCACTTCAGAAGCACAGGGTTTATCACAGGTTATGATTTGGCCCGCTTGGCTGACATTTTAACTTCATCACATCTCCATCCAAGCCTGAAACCTGGCAGACAACACAGCTTTCCTTTTCTCCTCAGCAAGGGATCTGATTTTGAGCGTTCAAAGAACTGTGACTAAGATCACTTTCTATATAGACATAAATTGATTTCACAAGACAAATTACAAAAAAAATCCCCCAAAACCTTCTAAACTTAAAGTAGGCTATAAAGTCAGTGCTGAAGCTGAATCATCATTAACATTCTCCACACAAACAGCAATTGCAGCCTTGAACTCACCTGCACGCAAGCAGCAGTGGGGGCTCTCCATGGCCAGGCCTGGGCAGCTGCAGCACCCTGCACCTCCGTGGGGACAGGATGGGATGGGACGGGACAGGACAGGACAGGACTATAATTGAGCTGGAAAAGAGCCCCATTGCAGCACCATTCAAGAAAAGAACAAAAGCCCGTAGTGTTGGCTTAAATAGGGCTCCCGGGACTGTGGCAGGTGTTTGAGAGACCTCAGGTGAGGCCACTCAGGACGAGTAAGGCCCTGCCATTAGTGGTCTGTCCTGGACCTCCCACGAGGCAGGTGTGCAGGCCTGGGCCAGGTCTCACCTTCAGCTTCCAAACCTGGCAACCATCTCCTCAGAGATTCTAATGATTCCCAGTTTTAGAGCCTTTTTCCTCTTTTTTTTTTTTCCCTCCAAATAACCTTGCAATTAAGCCCAATTTTATAGGCATTGTTTAAGCCTGATAACTAACTCATGGATTTGACATTGAACGTGGAGTCAGTTACGAGAAGTGGGGAGCCGGAAAATACCTCTTTGGTTATACAGTGTGTCACATACTAATGGAAAGTCATTCCCAAAACTTTTCTGCCCTTTGAAACCATTCAAACCGTGAGGCTTTCACTATTTCTCCTGGGAGGTAACTCTACACTGTATGAGGAAATGTTTCCTAATAGTCAGCCTAAATTTTCTTTTGCTCAATTTCATGCTTTTATTCCTAATAATACACCCTTCAGCCATCCTAAAAATCCTCTCTCTTCTGAATGTTTGGACCCTTGCAGTATGCTAGACAGTTCACATATCCTCTTTAGTCATTGTTTCCTCATTCAGATATTTCTTTTGGAAAATAAACTTGGCAGAGACCAGAAGACAGCTCTATTACCATCAAACCTCCTGTGAATGCGACTGGAAAAAGAAAAGGTCCTCAGTTAAGTACTTCAATGTGCAAATAACACACTTTGGAGTTGACAGCGATCCCCAGAGTAGTGATTCTCAGAAGCTCTTTACATGGAAATCTCACTCTGGAATGGAGAAGGAGCGTGAACCAACTTTAGGAATTGAGAAGGATAATGGTGTGTTCTCATCACTAAAGCACATGTATCGGATTATCTGAAGCTACTCCTGGCTCTGCCATCAAACTACTGTGTGGTCGGTCTCCTATGTCTTTGTTTCCCTATCTATCAAATGGTTTTATGGGAATGTGGCTTTTCTTTTTTTTTTTTTCTTTTTTTTTTTCCATTCAGTCTTTCATTTGAGCCTGAGTTTTCAAGCAAAAAATTGAGGGGGAGATGAGTACATCTGAAAAAAGTTCCCTGCAAAGTACTTTGAATGCTAAAAGCATTAGGATATACAACATATATGTTTCAAATACTGAAGAAATTAAAAATTTCTTCCTGTTTACTAGTTGATGAGGAAGTAAAGCACTTCCCTAACTCAAAGAAGAATTTCTGACAAAGTCTGTCAAAGGTCTGTAGGGTGCTGCTGACATTCTGGGTTTGACTGGGAAGTGAATGTGCAAATGGAAATCTATAAAATGATATGATGGACTGCTTTCTTGACCTTCATTCAGCATGTAAGTACTCATGTAGATGGTAGTTGAGGTGTGGCTAAGAATACTTTGTGTGGAAGAAATCTTGAGACAAATCTCAGCAACACTGTGCTATGTTGATTTTATATGGACAGATAAGGGTGGAGAGGATGAGAAACACCATTTAGTTTCCATAGTCAGTAACCACTCCAGCAACCACATCACTCACCAGCACCTAAACCCCAAGCCAAATTTTGTGCTGGGTTCACAGCACCCATCCCTGCTCACTCATCGCATCCTACAGATAGTAAGTCTGCTAACGGTCTCAGCATCAGTACCCAAACCACCTGCATTTTCTTGTCATGACCCAAATTCCACAGTGGGATTTGGATGAATTGCAACAAATTGCAGCTGGATTTTCGAACCTGCATGGGAAGAAAACCAGAACAACTTTCTACAAGCCAAAGGGAGATTTCTTGACTCTCTTTTCCAGGGCTAAAAAACTAGAATAGGAACTAGTTTTTATACAGATGAATGTTATGAAGTATAAGGATGCACCACCCACTACCTCCAGTCTTTTCTTGGGTTTCTGCTCCTGGCCATTTACAGATGAACAAAAGTTTTTGAGGAACTGAGTACTCTGTGCCAGGACTGACTAATTATGAATAGGTTTACCAGTCAAAGGAGATGGCCCTGTGCTTGAGAAAGTATTTTAAGAAAAAAAAAAAAAAAAAAAAAAAAACATATATATATACATATATATACATATATATAATGTTTAAAAAACAAACAAACAAACAAAAAAACACTTCCTCCCCTGCATCAGCCTCCCAAATTGTTTTGGTTCAGCCTCATCTTATTTCTTCTAAGCCCATGATCATTTGATTGGAGCAGTATAAGGAAACACTGACAAAGTCATACCTCATCTCTTCACTGACTTCATGCCTTGTGTGTTAAATCAGAATACATGTAACCTGAATACAGGTACAGGCTATTTGCTATCACTAGTGAAAGTAAATCATCTAATGCCAGATGAATGAGCTAAGACAGAGTCAGGTACTGAATATAGTCTCCTTAACCACACAACCACTACTTCTGTATTATTTTCCTATCTTTTTATCTTTTTACTGCATCCTGGAAGACTATGTTTAACTTTGAAGAAGTACACAATAATAAGCATAAACTGGACAACATTTTCTTCTCTCATACTAATCTTTCTCTGTTCATTCCATAAACTTAGCAAAAATTGCATCTCTACCAAAAGGACTTCCTTGATTAATTCAGCGTTGTTGCTGACATCCAATGGTAACATTATAATGAACACTGCCCTATGCTCACACTGCGTCTATCACAAAAACTGTTATCCCATAAATTTCCTATGTTCATATCCAATTATTTATACAAAGGGGAAGAAGAAAAAAAAAGAAGAAGAAGAAGAAGAATACACCACTTGTTTTGGTAGATTTTTAGTAAGAGACTGGGTTCTTTCTTCAAAGATGTAGGAAGACACTCATCTGTCTCTGCTCAAAATGAGAGCACACATGATTACCCCTCCTAAACATGTCCTTTGTATTTCTCTAGTTTGGTATGATTTGTTTCTTCATGGTATTCTCTTCATTGTAAAGAAACCAGTCTCCTGGGCGTGGTCAAATCTAGTTTATCACTCCACAAAAAATACTGGTATGAATCAACAGTTTGTCTAAGGTAACAATGTTATCACTGTTCAGTGACCAGTAATGTTATGTGAATGCAATGCATGTTTCTCCAAATTCTTCTATGAAAGCAATTAGATTTAAAAATTCAAACGTAGAGTTTGAAAGGTGGCAAGACCTTTTGATTTGTTAAATCAATAGCTTTGCTGGACATACACCAGTTTGTATCACATGGGTCTTGGACCACAGAATGAGCCATAAGTGTTCTAAATACACCTTCATGTCCTCCTATATTTATAAAAGATGCTGTATTATCTTAATGTATATTATCAAAAACAAGGGACTTGGTTAAATAAATTTTGCACTGACAAACAAGCAAACAAGTTTAACAATAACAAACCAAGCCTCATATGGACACACCAAATTTCTAAGAAAATTAGCTTCTCCATCTACTAAAGTTAACCAACGTATTTGTAAAAAGATTATGCACCAAAAATAATAATTTGAACGAAGGAGGGAGGAATGAACCTCAACATCAGAGCTGAAAGCAAACAGTAGTGAAAGCAATAAATTGAACTTATAAGGTCCAGAAAAAAAACATGAATCACCCAGCCTAGCAGACAATATGTGAAAAATACTGAATGGGAACATGCCACAGAGACAAGATGTGACGAAGTAAATATGTCATGTAGAACAGATGCTGCAAAACAAACACAATGGCAAAAATAATTATATGTTAATCAAAGTCTCAAGAGAAAAAAAAAAAATCAATGTATTAGCAAGTTTCAAAACAGCTGCATCTAGTTTTGGACAACAGAATTTGCACTTGCAAAAATCCCATCTGCAAATCCAGCCATGGAGGAGATGCGGGTACAATCCATTTCGGTAACTGATACGTGAATGTTTCTAGCTGTCTGGCTGATAGAGCAACACAGCTGAGTACCTGAATGCTCACATTCACCTATTCCTAAATAATTTCCAGATGCATCATTTGCTGCCACAGGCTGTGCTTATCAGAAGGGAACTGCTGAACAGCACCTTACCATTCTAAACTTTCAATTCAGAAGACCAAAGTCAGCTCCTCTAGCCCATGTTCAGCATTCAATCCTAAGGTTTCAGAAAAGGTTACAGAAGCGATGTTAAACATGCACATCCAAGGGCAATTCTCATCTAGTAGCAGATGAGACCTGATCCATGAGGCCTAAAAATACATATTTAAGTCAGGAATTAGCACTTATTGTGAGTAATGCTTCCAAAAATGGAATCTCAGAAGACAAAAATATTAGCACACTGCAATATCTTACTGGTTCAGTTAAAGACATTAACAAGTGTATCTGTAAACACAAAATTCCAGAGGCTCTGAAATTTAAAAACACACTGGGTTACAGTTTTGTGTCTTCCTCGACTATGAAACATGAACAAAAAAAAAATTATGATATAGCCCAGTTTCTTCAGTTTCTGGATCCAGAAACTGAACTAGCCTCTAGCTCTGATGAAACAACAGAGTTTTAAAGTGAGGGGAAAAAATCTTTTGTTAATGCTTCTGCAATTATTATGTATACTCAAATATACATAACGAAGTCACAGATCCCATAATTGGAAATACAGAAGACTGAGGTCTGACACCTTTCTGAGATCCTGAAAATAAAATTTCCTTCCTAAAACTGATTCAGCTTTCCAATAAATAATTGAGATAGCTGTGATCAAGTGGGAGTGTTACAATGAATACAGTAGAAAATTCCCACCGAGAATTAATGTTCCTCAGAAGGTAGAAAGTTGGTGGGGTTTTGTTGTTGTTGTTTTGTTTTTTTCCTTGTTTTTCGGCTACTGGAATTCAGTCTCCCTCTTTTTTCAGAAACAACAGAAAAATGTCTCTTGCTCAGCTTCACACTCACCATGGCAGAGGTTCAGCTAATAAAGGCAGAGAGTAAGACTCCTGGTAAAAGCAAAAGACAACTCTACTACAACAAAGCG